TCTGGGGAGAGGTGAGGAGGGGACCCGTGCGCCCGCCGAGTCGAGGATAGGCAAACCCGCGCGCACCTGCGTCTTCTCTGAATCACCCGGTACAGAAGTGGGTGGAGCGGGGTTCATCAACCATACCCGGCATGCGAGTCGTCGGTATCTGATAAACGCGTACACCCAGAAAAAAACAATTCTTGTCCTTAGTGACTTTACATTTTGAGCTTGACTCGTGCAAGAACAAAAGGTGCGAGGCAAATGCTATGTTTAGTTTAACCACGCTTACGAGAGCGCGACAGCGTAGAGTAGGGCTGGGCAGGGGGCGGGGAGGGGAAAGGCGTTTGACTCCACGCTCTCGCGCTGTCGCGCTCTCCCGCCCCCAGACCCTTGCTTTCCCTCTCGCCCTAAATCCACGCTCTCGCGCTCACGCTCTCGAAAGCGTGGCTAAACTGAATATAGCAAAAGCAAATTTACTCGGGGCAATGCAAATTTACTTCGGACTTTGGTCTGTGGAGCACTGATTCTCCATGCCCCACTTGAAAATGTTCTTGTTCATCGTGAAACAAAGTGCAAAATCCAAAGTAGTGACGTAGTCGTAGTTAACACGTTGAGTGCGGCGCCAAAAAAAAGAAGGATGTCCCAGGAGCCGAAGGTTTTTCTAAACGCCATACATTGGGGCCCACAGTGTGGGTCACGTCGCCCTGTGGGACATAATGCTGTGACCCACGGTGTGGGTCACAACGCACTCAACGTGTTAACAAGAGGGGGCAACAAAGTCTCCTGAGTCCCGCGGGGTCCTAGCCTGTAGCGGTCAAGCGGGCTGCACCCAGAAAATCGTTTCTTTGAAACAAAGAAAATTGGCCCATATTTCTTTGATATAGACGTAAAGAAATGATTTTTTTTTTTTTAAATCGAAGATCCTCTTTTGATTCAAAGAAATGGTTATTCTTGGATAAAAGAAGGCTTCTTTGATTCAAAGAAAGCATTTCTTTACGTCTATCAAAGAAACGATTCTCTAGTCTCTAGGTGTCGTCGGTGGTGTCCTCGAGACCTGTGGGGTGGTCCGCGGGGTCCTCGGAGACTCGCGGGGGGTCCGCGGGATCCTAGCAGTTTCGCGGGGTGGTCCACGGAGTGTATTTGCCGGTATTGTGCCAGTCTATGAGTCGCGCGGAACAGGTTTTGCACTATTATCGGCCTCCTTTTTAGTGCTTGTTTCAAGGGCACACATGAGTTTTATTATTTTTCTATATTTGTCGCAAGAATAGATTTTGCTTGGTATGTAGTTATCTGCCCTTTGATCGTTTAATCCCAGAGAACACGAAAATGTCACGAATAGGTCATTTTCGGTCATTTGACGTCAAAATGACCGAGTTTTTGCCCAAATTTTGACCTTTCTCGTGACCAAATTAGTCCTTTTGATGTCAATATGACGTCCTCGTGAGTTTTTCGTGTTTATTGGGATATCAATAAAACCACTTTATTTCTCATACTCTAACGGCTTGCATTCAATTGCTAGTTCCGTCTTTTTCGTGGTTTAGTTTTTCTTTCTACTCCGGGCTCCGAAATTCATTCATTTCAGGCCGAGTGTCGAGCAAATTAAATACGGATCTGCGCGGTAGAATGGTGTTGCCCTCCTTACTCCTTACAGCCTTAGCCACGATGTCACCGGAATAGCAGAAGGTGAACAGCTGAATGAAGGTCCACATCACGTAGACGGCGCT